TAAACAACTGTTCTTGATATTAAGGAGAACCAAGCTCGTGTTTTCAATAGGTTTAGGATAATTGAGTCCACGGCGGATTTGTAGTAAGACCTAACTTTCCCGGATCGAAACCCGTTATCATTTTAAACAATTTTTTTTAAACAATTTATAGCCGCGGATCTTCTTTATTTTAAACTCAATCATATTGATAAATCTATTCGTCAGATCCCAATAGGACAATTTTTCTCAAGTTCAAAGGGTTGACGAGCCTGACTTGTTCACCTCCGCAACATAACAAGTGTTTTGAAGAAAATTACATCTCATTAACGCGTTTTTTCCATTGATAGAAAAAATAAAAAAAATAGGGAACTATAGACAAAGCGAGATTACTCATGAATCCATTCTTCAGATTCCAACCAATATAGGACAATTTTTCTCGGGTTTAAAAGGTTGATGAGTTCGACTTGCTCACTTTTAAAGAACGCGTTTTTTCCATGGATAGAAAAAGAAGAAGAGAGAACTATAGACAAAACGAGATTATTAATGAATCTACTCGTCGGATCCCAACCAATGCTACAATTTTTCTTAGGTTTAAAGGGTTGATGAGTCCGACTTGCTCACTTTTAAAGAACGCGTTTTTTTCCATTGATAGAGAAAAAAATAGAGAACTATAGACAAAACGAGATTATTACTGAATCTATTCATCAGATTCCAACTAATAGGACAATTTTTCTCGGGTTTAAAAGGTTGATAAGTCCGACTTGCTCAATTTTAAAGAACACGTTTTTTCCATTGATAGAAAAAAATAAAATAAAGAACTATAGACAAAACGAAATTATTGATGAATCTACTCGTCAGATTCCAACCAATGGGCACATTTTTTCTCGGGTTGATGAGTCCGACTTGCTCCCTCTTAAAGAACGCGTTTTTTTCTAGGGGTGTACACGGGTCGGTTCGGTTCGGTTTTAGCCAAAAACCGAACCGAACCGAATATATCGGTTTTTGTAAAATTAAAAACCATGTATGTCGGTTTTTTATCGGTTCGGTTTCTTTCGGTTTCGGTTCGGTTTCGGTTTTTTTCGGTTCGGTTTCGGTTATTTTTCGGTTCAAGTGTCACTATATATTCAAGTTGTACAAACAAAAGAATACAATTACAATTACTTTCACAACTTACTAATGCAATGAAAATATAAAATCTTTAATTTCATAGGACTTAACATAATTTAGATGATGTATTATGCTTCATTTTTTTTTCCTACTTTCATCTACCACATTATTAAAACCATGAACTCAAGTAAATTTTTACTTACTAAATAAATAAAATACAATGTCTCAATTTATGACAAATGCTTAGAATGAGACAAGTAATTGAAAGATAGAAAATAAATATTAGGGTAAAATAATAAATATATTATATAAAATGAAGTCATTTTATAGTTTCGGTTCGGTTCGGTTTTTCGGTTCGGTTATTTACCTTCCCACCATACCGAACCGAATAATTCGGTATTTCAAAAATAAAAAGCCGTACATGCGGTTTGCTATTCGGTACGGTTTAAAACGGCTCGGTTTTTCGGTTTTTCGGTTCGGTTTTTCGGTTTCTTTGCTCACCCCTATTTTTTTCTATTGATAGAAGAAAAAAAGCGATTGTGCAAAAAACAATAGCAAAATAAAAATAGTTACTTGTGTGTAAAACCGCGTTGTAGTGTAGAGCATCCACTCTACTTCAAAAGTTGCAGTCTTGCTCCATGTGACTGACCCCCCTTTCTCTGCATTAAAGTCTTCCTCTTTTTAGCTGCTTCACTCCCCCATACTCCTCTCTCTCTCTAACTCTCTCACTCATCAACTTTCTCTCTCCTCAAAATAAATGCCTATCTCCACTCTCCTCTGAAATCCAGATCCAATTTTTGAGCCCTTTTAAATCCCAAAAAAGGGGCCTCACTTAGATCTTCAAAAACCACAAACAAAAAAACATAGATTAGATTTTCAAGAAGAAAAAAATGGCTCCACTTGATTACTCCTCCCCAAAGAAGAAGGTACTTCTCCTCTATCTAATCTTGCTACTCTTCTTCACTTCTTCATTCATTTCTTCTGCCAATCAAAACCCACCAAAGATTTCAAGAATCTTGTTAGATTTAGAAGACGATGATCCTGATAATAGTAGTAGTAATCAGCCAATCATCGTCAAGAAAAAAAAACCCGCTACTTCTTCGATTGCAACAGAGGCTTCTTCGACCAAGAACAAAACCAAACTCGTTAAGCCGGCCGCAACTCCGTCGAAAAACCAAACGAAGGTAATCAAATCCACAGTCAATGGCGAACTCAAGAACCAAACTAAGCCATCTGATTCGTCATCCAAAAACAAGACGAAGCCAAGCTCATCAGACTCTGCTACAACCACCACCATTAAAACACCACTCAAAAAACTCAATTCCACCTCGAAGAAAACATCTTCCAACTCCACAAACACCAAAAAATCATCAGATCTACCATCAATTACCAAACCAGCAAAAAAGCCCCAATTGGAAAAAATCATCGCCGCGGAAAAAACCCTAAAAAAAATCGATTTCGACGACGACGAAGACGACGACCTAGTTTCCGAATTCAGAGGCCTCCCATCGAAATTCCAGGAATCAATCGTCCCCGATTTGGAGAAAATTTCGAAAACCTCGCAAATCTACCTCAACAAGTACAACAAGGAATTCGCCAAGGGCTTCAAACCCTACGTCGGAAACAAATACGCCGCCACGATCGCCTCGTTCGCCTCCTTCGCCACCGTGATCCTGCCACTAATCGCCGTCTCTCTCATCTTCAGCAGAATCAAAGCTTACTTCTCTCTCCAGAAGCTGCTGATCTTCGTCCAGATCTACCTCGCCATATACTTCACGATCCTCTGCTTGTCGTCGCTGGCCACGGGGCTCGAGCCGCTGAGGTTTTTCTACGCTACTTCGCAGTCCACGTACGTCTGCGTGCAGGTGCTGCAAACCCTGGCCTACGTGTTGTACCTCCTGCTGCTCCTGATGTACCTGATCCTCGTCTTCTCGACCGAGACCGGGCCCACCACGAAGGTGTTGGGTTTGGGGCAGACGTTCGTCGGGTTTGCGGTGGGGCTGCATTACTACATGACGGTGTTCCATAGGGCGGTGCTCCGGCAGCCGCCGAAGAGTAGCTGGAAGGTACATGGGCTTTATGCCACGTGTTTCCTTGTGATTTGTCTGCTTGGTAGGGTTGATCGGAGGAAGAAGGCTTACTTAGTAGAGGGAGTTGAAGAGGGAAAAAAGAGTTGATTTCTTTTATTTTTTATATTTTTATTTTAATTGTGAAATGTAATTTTTGAAAAATGAAGCTGGGTAAAAAAAAAAAAAAAGGGCCTGCTTCTAATTATTTTTTTTTCTTTAAACAAAAATTAGTAATTTATTAGGAATATTATTAATAAAGAATTTTTAATTGCCTCTTAATTAGTTGGTCGTTACATCGTTGACGCATGTGTTGAATTGTATATTTTCATAGTTACAAACAATAAAAAAAATTAAATTATAATGTAATTAAAAAATAAGAATAAATTACGGTCATACCCCTGAGGTAAGCTCAAATTATGAAAAGACCCCTCATGTTTGAATAATTACAACCTCCTCCCTCAACTATGTATTATTGTCTTACACATCTATTTTACGGTGTGAAATTTACTTACCGGACAAAGGATTTTTTTGTAAGACAATACATAATCGATGCGTGGTTATAATTATCCAAATATGACGGTTTTTTTCGTAATTCGCGCTTACCTCAGAGGAGTTGCCGTAATTTTCCCTACAAAATTATTTAAATATTAATATATGATTATAAGTCTGTTATTACAAAATTATATTTTTAAAAAGGCGTTTTATATTTAAAGATGAATGTTAAGTCTCATGTATCATTTAACAAATACATTTTAAATTTGAAGTTCGAATTAAACATTAGTCCTTTTTTGTAATTAGTAATAATTACGAATTTAAGACCACCGACGGATTGAGCTAATTCATTGTCGGTAGACATAATGCCATACAAAACATTTTTCCACCACCGCAATAAATTATATCTATTTTGTGATAATTAATGCCTCTTTTTATAGCCATGAATCTTCATATGTGTTGTTTTTAAGTTTCAAATTAGAATTATTATTTACTGATAAATAAATAAAAACTTATAATTATTATTAATTTCTTGTAACTATTTTTTATGAATATATAGTTGGAGATAAAATAAAATTTAATAGCTTTATTAATATGTATATAGGGTAATTTTGACATTTCCTATTAAAATAGATATTAGTTATCTATAATTGTTAATTTGTGTGCATGGAAATTAAGGTTCTATTTTGATATATAGGGTAAATTACAACCACCTTCTGAGGTATGGTTAAATTACGAAAAAAATCTTTCATATTTGGATAATTACAACTACCCCTCAACTATTAATCTTCTTACACGTCCACTTTTATAGTGTCAAGTTCGACATAATCTTATAGATTGCGTGAAACGTTCTCTAGTTTATATTCGTTTTGTGCAAAAATGCAGTTTATGATGCACCACAATCTAATATATGCAAGCCAAAAAACTCATTTTATGATCATCTTGCTTCAAAATGTGGAGCTCGAATGGTATAAAACGGGTACAAATTTGAGAATATTAATCTAGAAGATTTCACTAAATTTCACACCACCAGGGTCGATAAATAAGCAGATTTATAGTTGAGGGATAATTGTAATTACCCAAACGTGAGGAATTTTTTTATAATTTAACCATACCTCAAGGGGTGGTTGTAATTTACCCATACCTTAAAAATAACTCAGGTCCGCTAGACTCCTACCAATTGGCCCATGTTGAAACTCAAAATTGCCCACTTAAATTGGGCTATTTTTTTATTTATTTATTTTCATACTGGACAAGAAAAAAAAAAAAAAAAACACATAACTATGACAAATTTAATTAATGGTCCTTTATCTTAACATTTAGTTTTACTTTAGTTCTTCATATCTCAATTGTCTCATTTTCATTCTTCATCTCACTATATTTCTCAGTGTATAATTTGTTAACTTTAACAGAATCTCTTTAAGATCGGATGGATATTTCATTGTTCTAATTATTTTTGATAAAATATAATTTTTTGTCAATAAATAATTTTTTTATGATTTTAAAATAATATTTGGAACCAAGAAAATACAATAAATGAAGTTAATAAAAATCAACAATTAATGATATAATTGTTGCACACAATGATAAATAGCTGGTCTAGAGAGGGGAAAGGCTTCCCATAAATAACTATGTTGTTTAGACTTAGAACATCTCCAACAAGAAAAACTATATTCAATAGCTAAATATTAAATTTAGCTGCTCTAAAACATTTTAGCTACTACTTTTAGCTACTCAGGGCATCTCCAAGGTTGTGAGGTAAATACATGGGTGTTATCTATCTATTATACCTCTTGTACAGTGTTTTACCATCTCTGATTTTACTTCCCTACTCCAACCACATTATCTATATTTTAGCATTCTATTATATTTAATTATTTTTCAACTATTCTACTATAATAAATATGTGTAATTAGTTTATTGTATTTACCAGGAAAAAGGACGGCAGCGTCAAAGCAACCAACGTCAATGGAGATGAAAACTTCAGCATGGGAGAAATAACCCTGAATGTTTTTTGATTTTTTTTCTATTTGATTGTTCATTTTTGCTTGAAGATTTTTTTTTTTATTGTGTTTTTAATCGATAAATTATTTCATTTTTTACAGAAAAATTCATCAACTACCCAATTTAATTTTTACAGTTGGGAGATTTGTAATTATTATTTTTTACTATTCATGATTATTTTAATATTTTTTCATTTAGCTTCTATGAACAGTAAGAGGTATATATACCTGTTGGAGATTTAATTTTAACAGATGAGGTAAAATTTACCTCTCCCGTTGGAGTTGGTTTTTTTTTGGAGAAATGGTATATTTTCCCTTTTTTAGCATATAGCTGGCCATTTTTTTTATGGTTGGAGATGCTCTCACTCCAAAAAACACTCTTCAAAGTTTAGCTATCTATTATATTTTATTAATTTTTAAAATATTTATTTATAATGTATGTTTTGTTTGTATACTAATTTATGTCATATGCATAAACTTACTAAGATTAAGCTAACATTTTTTATTCAATTATTTTTAATTATCTAAAATATAAAAGTAATACAAACAATTCTATACTATTTCAATGCATGACAAGAAATTATATATATATATATATATATATATATATATATATTTAATCCTTAATTATAAATTGTAGTATATTCTTCAAAATTTGAAGATTGTTAGCTAAAATTTTAAAATTTAGCTAATAAAGAGCTAATAAATTGACTGTTGCTCCAAGTCAAGGAAGTTGTAACTTGTACATGATAATTGATAACTAACACTTAATGCCTATATTAGGCTAACATAGTACTATGAATTAACAATGCTAGGCAAAAGAAACGGCTAGGGGAAAGACAAATACCATTTTATGATATTAATTATGTATTAAAAAAACACTTTACCATATTACGTATAGTATTTCTAATTTTAATATTTTTTTCTTTTATTGTAAAGTAGGGACATTATTGTAAAGTCTAAGGGGAATGGAGTTACGTTGGTTACAAGAATACATCGGTGAATTTTACCGCTGATCTACATAAACAAATATGAGTGTATTTATGTTTGTGTATATATGAATAGTAAAAAGTTACTCGATGTATTCATTATGTGTAGTATAGCATAAACCGCAGAATTCTGATCTCTAAACCAAACTACTGCGACGTTTAGTGTAATCGTAAATCATTAAAATTTTTTTTTAATGTAATTTAACAATTGTATTTTCTTTTTTCCTCCCAAAATATAAACAAATACTTACTAAAAATTTTACTTTCAAAATCTTCCAAATATATATTATCTCAAAACAAAATCAAAATAAATTCCGAAAGACTTTCAAACACTGCCTGAAAAATCTAAATTAATTAGCTAAAGTTAATTTTGATTAATTTAAAAACAGTCCTAATTTCTTAAAAAAAATCCAACCACTTTAATAACACCCACCGAACTCCTACTTTCACACATTATTTAATTTTCTTTAATTGTGTAGAATAATTAGTTTATGACCATAACCATTCACCTAAACATTTCCCGATCAGGCAAATGTGCAATGTAAAGAAGATGAGAGAACATCACAGCCGTCAATTATACATCATCACACAAATCGAGGTGCGTTAATTACGTAATCGGTCTAGCTCGCCGTGTTCGCGGATGCAGGCGATTGCACCCCCAAAATTAAAATTTCAGAAAATAAAAAAAGCTCTCAATTCTGAAACCCTCTTCTCCCATAAATCATCTCTCTCTCTTTCTTCTCTCTCTTCCTTCTCTGGAAATCCCTTTCTGATGGGTCCGGTTAATTATTTACATTTATGTACAGTTCGTTACATCTATTAGCAATTATTTGCAGAGTTAAGAGTTTTGATCTTCTTCGGATTGTTAATCCTTCCTTATTTTAGTTTAATTTTATTGTGTGATTGATTGTTCGAAGCTCCAGTGAGTCCATCGGATTACTCAGCCGTGTTGTATGACAACGGCGGAAACAGACTGCCGGCGGTGTTTGGATTGTCTGAATAATCAGGTTAGCTGAATTTTTTTATGGTAGCTGTTGTTGTTTCATTTTTTTCGGGTCTAGAATTATTGAATTAAGTGTCTTTTTATTTATGGTGAGCGATTAAACCTGCATGATATTTATTGGAATGGAGAATTATGTTTTTTTGTTAGTGCTCACTCCATGGAAATCGAAGATGTTCTTGTTTTTGGGGGTGTTTATTTGATGTTTTATTAGTGAGATTTCAACAGTCACGTGTTTCACTGATGGTGCCGCTATAATTGATAATAACTATGTTCTAGATGTTCTCATAATTTCGAGTAATTAGTTTCGGTTGATTATTTATATAATTATTTGTAATGGTTATTTACTATTACATGGTGTTTTGAATAACCGAAAAACTCATCAAGTCTGCGGGGAGCAATTGTTTCGAGTTTGATGTTCTTGGCCCATTTTTAAGCTCAATTCTATCGTATTGAATGCAAGAGCGATGATGCTGGATTATTAGCCTTTCATTTTCTTGGTTCGGCTCCGACTGGTCAATTTTGATCTACTAGTCATCAAAGAAGTATGCACTTTTAGTATGTAAACAAAGTTGTCTCCTGGGAATGCTGGAAACTGTGTCATGCACTGTGTAACTGTCATAAGTATTCTTTATACTGTCACGCGGATGACTATGGAGTGCGTCATGCACCACATAAGTGTCGTAAGTAGGCTGCTTAAACGCATACCCTCATGATTGTTGATGTTTCGGACTAGTAGTAGGTACGACTTTGTGATAATGTTATCTCGACATGTAAAGAGTTCGTTATATGTGCTTGACCTAGATACTGCGTTGGTGACTGATACTCGGCAATTTTGTACACAAAGAATGAGTGCCATGTGATTTGACCTTAATATTACTTTAGTGATTGATATTAGGAGAAGTTATTACCATTCAGAGCATTTAGTAACTGCTTCAATTTATTCGGAAACACAACAAAAAGTTATGTTGTACCCCAAATGCTCGGGAGTCAATATTATTGCCTAGGGTTACTGACTAGACTTCTTTTTTGCATGTTAGATCCTAACAAAGTGTTCAATCTTGGACCTTTCCAGTGCACTGTACGAATGTGTTCAGAGAACTCGTTGCTCTTAGCTGAACTGTTACAGATGATATAGTTCGACTTTGTACAGCATTTTTTTTCCTTTGATAGACTTGTAGTTAGACTTCCTTCAGTGATAAATTAAACTATTTTCAAAGAGAGGATATATTAAAGGTTAGAATCCATGAGAAGATGATTATAAACTTGAGACAAAAGACTGTTATAAGTATTGGCATAAAATGCCCAAGTATACTATTTACAGTTTCAAGGCAATGCATATTTGTCCTTCTAGTGTCTTGAGTTATATGTGAAAAATTAAAAAGGAATGTATTGTTTGCTCGGTATGCGTACATTTACTGATGAGTAACTAGGTTGGATTATTTGGTTACACCTCTATATTATTTTAGCATACTGCAAAAATATATAGAATTTATGTTACTCACCTATATCAAATAAAAACTTCTAGTTTTCTTTGCTCGTGATGTTTGACTGTTTGTATAAATTTAGTTCTCTTATATAATGCTTTCAATGAATTTCCAGGCACTAATAACATGAAGTAAAATTTGTCGTCATCTCAAGAAGGCAGTATCCTTAGTCCCTAATATTTCTTGTCTACTGGAGGTTGCCTTCAAACATGCCTTCGCTCCAGCTTCTACAGTTGACTGAACATGGTCGGGGACTTCTGTCGTCGAGAAGGTATCATCTTTGTTGTTTCTTTCTGTAAATCTCTTCTCTCGGTATGAGGTTTTGCACATCTTTTCCCTCACACACACACACACATATATGTACTATTCTTCGTCTCCTATAATCCTTTTCTATTATCCATAAATAGTTAAAACTATTGTTATACTTGTAAAGGTGTAGATATTGATAGAATGAATGAAAGGACACAAGAGAGGGGAGAGGGAAGGGAAAAAGTAGAAACATAAATATAAGACCCCAAATAAAAATAGGTTTGGGTTCTTGATAATTGCATTTGCTGAATTGTGAAAATCCTCCAGTCATGACTATTGGATGCCAATTTTCCCAACCTTAGTCCTGATAATGTCGCTCTTGTATCTCTAGGATTCATAGGATTCAAGAGCTGATGTTACGTATTTTTTTTTTTTTCGTTTATCATGTAAAATTTTTCATATTGGAAGGATCATCATGAATTATCAGTGCTTACTAACTGCAAACAACTCCATGACTATCATCATTCCCCTTCAACAATTACAAACACAAGTGATTTTGGATTTTTCGCTTTGCTTTTTGGTGTATCATCATGTAGAAGATATCACCGGGAAACAATATCATTGTCTGCCTTCAAAGATCAATCGGACATACATGGGGAAAACGATAAACAGTAATCTGTTGCTGTAACATATTAGCATGATGAAAAATTTCTTATAAAACAAAAGAAGAGCCATGTCTTATTCCACCCACCCATATGTTTTACTTCCTTGCCCTTTTCAGTTGCTTTTTTGTTTCTTCTGTAGTTTGGGATACTCTTTTGAAGTTGTATGTTCTGAACTGCTGCTTTCTTATCATTAGCTATCATTGCTATTGTAAGCATATGCCTTCTGTAATATGACCATATTGTTAATTCCTATTTTATCATTGAATAATTTCTTACAGGAGAGCTATACTGATTGCCACTAGTATTGTTGCTGTTGGTGGAACTGCCGCCGCGTATGTGCACTCACGAAATAGTTGTAAACGGCGCAGTTCTTTTAACCATTCTAATGGAATCAATGACAATAAAGATGAATCAGACCAGTCAATTGGAAACGATAAGAATGTAAAAAAGAGTAGGCAAAAGAGAGGAAATTTGCGGTCTCTCCAGGTTTTGGCAGCCATTCTGTTATCTCGTATGGGGAGAATGGGTGCACTGCATATATTATCTTTGGCTGCTATAGCGGTAAATCTTTCCTTCAAGAAAGGCCATGTTTGATTTAATAGACATTTATTATTTGCTTATCATTTCCTATAGCCAACCATGGTGGGTCAGTTGTCAAACTTTTTTTTTTTGGGTAATTTGATAATATGAGCACCTGCCTTTTGTATTGTATTTGTCAGTAGATTTAATAATCACTGAATTTTCTTTGAATATTTTCGGAACTCAATGATCTAATGTAACAGGAGATCCTTTTTTCAATTCTAGGAAGTTTATTGTGTTTCGCAAAAGTATACACAGTTCCTCTAGTTTCATAGGCATCCATAGCTCATGCATGCTGAATCAGTCAATATATTTTTCTAAAAAAGTCCTCCTACCTTTGCAGGTTTCTAGAACTGCTGTAAGCAACAGGTTGGCTAAAGTCCAAGGTTTCCTTTTCCGTTCTGCTTTTCTCAGGCGTGTACCTGTATTTCTTCGTCTTATTATTGAAAATATCGTGCTGTGTTTTCTCCTATCGTCATTGAATTCCACCTCTAAGTACGTAACAGGGACCCTAAGTTTACGGTTCCGGAAAATTTTGACGAAGCTTACTCATACCCAATATTTTCAGGTAATTTTTGATGCTGCTTATACTGACAGGATAGCTGCATCATATCTTTGGTTCGAATTGTTTCTTATGTTATATTACAAGTGCAATCTGTTATTTTTCTCAAGTTAATAGAGCTCAGGGATAACCCATAGTGGTGGATTAGAACTATATGGTCACTCAAATCAAATAAACACTTTTAAGGGTAGATGAAAAACTCATTATGAGTGGCCTTACTGTTATACAGCGGTTAAGTTTCAGATGAAATATTTTTATCCAAGGATTGTCTAATAAAATGACAGTAACTGTTTTGATTAAAATGATTAATTTTAAAATCATTATGTTATTGATGTGAAGTGGCTTTCTAAATTTTCATCAATTATCTCCATATTAGAAAAAGCTTCCCACTTGAAGTATCTATTCTATGGGATACTCTATTCGATATTTTTATAGAACTAACCTTTAAAGAACTAAAGTATTGTGATGTTCATACCATAGAATAAATCTGTCATGTTAGCATGTTTTCGTGCTCTCTTCTTTTGCACTGGCACAAGTCAGATATACTCATTTGGTAGCCCAACACACTAATTGCACTGGCCAATTTAATTATTTCTGCACCAGAAACAGTTTCATTTACGTCTATCACATTTGGTTGCATCATTATTTAACATAATTAATATGTGCTCATTTAGTGAAAGCGTAATGCACAAACAGCAAGAATTTTCCCCTCTCACGTGGTTGCATATACATTTTTTCTCAAGCGACTGATTGTATTGATATGTATGAGTATGTGAACTGCGTTGTAAAGGAAGCTCTTCCAAGTTGTCAATGTTAATATATTCTTGATTTGGGTTCAGAATATGGTGTACTACAAGATGTCTCATGTTGATGGTCGGATAAGCAATCCCGAGCAGCGAATTGCCAGTGATATACCAAGGTTCTGTTCGGAATTGAGTGACCTTGTGCAAGAGGATCTATTTGCTGTTACTGATGGGCTACTTTATACATGGCGTCTATGTTCATATGCTAGCCCAAAATACATATTCTGGATACTGGTAGCAATTTATGACCTTACGTCTATGTATTAGATTCCAATTTAATCTCTTCCTTTCTTTTGTTCATTGTTGTTACTATATTAAGCTGTTTACATCTGTATGTATTTTGTTAATTTTCAGGCCTATGTGTTGGGCGCAGGGGCCACAATTAGAAATTTTTCACCACCATTTGGGAAACTTATGTCCAAAGAACAACAGCTGGAAGGGGAGTATAGGCAGTTGCATTCACGGTTAAGAACTCATGCAGAAAGCATAGCGCTCTATGGTGGAGAAAATCGAGAAGAATTTCACATCCAGAAAAAGTTTCAGAATCTTATTCAGCATATGAGAGTTGTTCTTCATGATCATTGGTGGTTTGGCATGATTCAGGACTTCTTACTAAAGTATCTTGGCGCTACTGTTGCTGTTATCCTGATTATTGAGCCATTTTTCTCTGGAAATTTAAGGCCCGAGTCTTCTACCTTAGGACGTGCAGAGATGTTAAGCAATTTAAGATATCACACAAGTGTTATAATTTCGCTGTTTCAGTCTCTGGGAACTCTTTCTATAAGTTCAAGACGACTCAATCGCCTGAGGTATAGCTTGTTCAATTTTTTGTTGAATGCTTTTATGTACCTTTGAATTTTTGTACTTTCTCAATTTGAGAAGTGTTAGTTCAGTTCTGAAAGCTTTATGTACTTATTTTTTGGCTTTCTACTCTATAAACTCACATGAAACTACATTTCTCCTGCATAGAGGAAAAAAAATTAATTGCTTAAGACGGTTACTTCTATACCGTGATGCATCACTTTGAGACTGTAGTTTTCTTTTTTTTTTTTGAAAGTTTGCTAGAAAAATATTTATTCTTGTACTAAACAGTTACAGTATTACTTGAAATGTTCATTATCAACCGTGGTGAATTTGGCCAACCAGTCGCATTATTTACATGCTTTTCTGGTGTGAGAATTAGTTGCTAGTTAGATTATACTCCATATGTTTATGCAGATATTCCTTTTGATCTGCAGTGGGTATGCAGATCGTATTCACGAGCTTCTGGGTATATCTAGAGAGCTAGCCGCACGCGATTCATCTTCTCAACAGGCTGATGGGAGCAGGAACTATGTTAGCGAGGCAAATTACATTGAGTTTGATGGTGTCAAGGTAGCAGAAAAGTTGGCCTTTCATTCATTTGATTATTCTCTTCTTCTCTGGGATTCTTAAGTACATTTTTATCTCTCAGGTTGTTACCCCAACTGGTAATGTCTTAGTAGAGGATTTGAGTCTAAGGGTTGAATCTGGTTCAAATCTTTTGATAACAGGTAGATTCTATTGGTTGTTTTGTTCGCCATTTTGTACCCGTAAAATGTAGGCTGCATCAGATTGGTAGATTCTACATATCATTTTTTCTGAAATAGTGTTCATGGTCGAAATTTTAACAATACCACCCGATCCATTTCAAGGTCCAAATGGAAGTGGAAAAAGCTCTCTCTTTCGAGTTTTGGGTGGTCTTTGGCCATTGGTGTCTGGTCATATAGTCAAACCTGGAATTGGTTCTGATTTAAACAAGGAGATCTTTTATGTGCCACAACGCCCATATACAGCGGTTGGAACCCTGCGTGACCAGTTAATTTATCCCCTCACAGCAGATCAGGACTTTGCATCTCTTACAAAAAGTGAAATGGCCGAGCTGTTGAGAAATGTGAGATTTGTCAGTTAAATATGATTCTGCAAGCTTTTATCATTGGGCGATCTTGATGGCAAAACTTGTTCAGGGATTTGTTGTTGATTGATTTTTTTTATATATTAGGTGGATCTTGAGTATCTGCTGGACCGGTACCCATCTGAAAAGGAGGTGAATTGGGGTGACGAATTATCGCTAGGGGAGCAGCAAAGATTGGGAATGGCTCGTCTCTTTTACCATAAACCTAAATTTGCTATCCTGGACGAGTGCACAAGTGCTGTGACAACTGATATGGAAGAACGTTTCTGTGCTAAAGTTCGAGCTATGGGAACCTCATGTATCACAATTTCCCATCGCCCTGCATTAGTTGCATTTCATGACATGGTCCTATCTTTGGATGGAGAAGGAGGCTGGAGTGTGCATTATAAAAGGTAGGAACTTTAATTAGTGTCTGTTTACAGTTCCCTTGTTGAGATGACTATTGCTTATTATCAATTTCATCACTCTGTAGAGCCGATTCACCAGCTTCTACAGAATCCGAGTTTATTAAGAAAAGGAGTTCCGAGACAGAGCGCCAAAGTGATGCCATGACTGTCCAACGTGCATTTGCGAATACAAAGAAGGTCAGGTCCTCATATTCTTCTTCTAATTTTTGTTAAAAATATCATTTTAGATTTATCCCCATGTCACTTGAACTTTCTTGGATAATCATTGCCAGGACCGGGCATTTTCAGCTTCTAGGTCGCATTCTTCAGAGTTGATATCAGCATCTCTGACCGAGGAAGAGGACTATGTGTCGCCTGTATTTCCACAACTGCAAAGTGTACCAAGGATATTGCCTCTGAGGGTAGCTTCCATGTTTAAGATACTAGTAAGTGCTTGTGACTACTTAAATGTCTATCTAGTGCCCTGGTTCAAACTCTCTTGCTATCTCTCTCTCCCCCCTCTCTCTATCTTTTGTGGATTATCTGCCTCTTGTGAGCTATACTTAAAATTCTCCGAGCAAGATCTAGAAATTTGTTAGCTTTAAACAGATCCCTTGGGTAACTTTTGTGCCTTCACGGTCATATTGATTTCTATGTACTTGCAAAAGGAATAGTGATTTTTCTTCCAAGCACATTATATTATATACATTAGCATGGAAAAGATGCATTCTCTTCCAAATTGTAGAATATTTTAGGGACAGAAGTTTTGAGAACTGAAAAATTATTGTGAATTATCATCTAATCCTCATGTAACAAACGAGGCTGCTGTTTGTCGAAGGAGAGAGGCCAAGACTTCATTAACTCAGTTAATGATACCATTTCCTTCCTCAATCGTTTTCTTGCATGTGGTTTTCTGGTGTTCCTTGCTCCATCCCAAAAGGAAATAATAATTAAACAAGACAGGGAATAAGTAAGAGAAAAAAAATATTGAAAGTAGCCTCAGACATATTTGGTTCTTCGTCAGCATGTATTTCTTAAGATTATGCAGTTGCGTTAGAGTGTTATCAACTAAGCTGATTTGCTAGCCAATTGGGTCAGCAAGGTTTCTCAACTTGGTTTTATTTACCTGCTGTTTGTTGGACCTTATATTTTTTGTGCTCTGTCTGTGTCTTCAATTCTTTTCATTTTCATGACCGTGTTGTCATAGTTATTGAAACATAGAATATATTATTCTCAGAAAAGTCTTTGATGTATTCTTGTACTGCGCTTAGCTGACCTAGTATTTGTTTTAGGTACCGACTGTGCTTGATAAACAGGGTGCACAACTCCTTGCAGTTGCTATACTAGTGTTATCCAGGACTTGGATATCAGACCGTATTGCTTCTTTAAATGGTATTCATATTATTTTGTTAATACTGCTTTTCTTTTGTGCTGACTTGCGGTCATTTTAACCATTATGATTTTCCCAGGGACAACTGTAAAGTATGTTCTAGAGCAAGATAAGGCTGCCTTTGTTAAGTTGATTGGCATCAGTGTTCTCCAAAGTGCTGCATCCTCTTTTGTTGCACCATCTTTAAGGTACTTTTAGTGTCTTTAGAAGATTTATAAATCAAGTGTGTGTCATCTCCAGACCACATTTGAAAGCAATCAAACTGTCCTGGTCCTTTTCTTTGTCAGATTTTGTACTGCTTTGAGGTAGTTATTTGACATATCCACCTTCTTTTTGTGGTTTTGTGCTTTACTAGAAAACACTACATACATCTTTTAATATATTGGTCTGTACTTGCACACAAGTCTGATGTTGTATGGTTTTATTTGCTGGAGATGGTTATGCGTTGAGCTAATGCTAAGAATCAACACATTTTAACTTGATTTGTACGCCACATTCAATGCTGAAATTCTTACTTTAGTGGTATTTTTATTTGTTGCATATTTCGTCGCCTCCCCTGTTTACAGGCATCTGACAGCTTTGCTTGCACTTGGATGGAGAATACGTCTGACAAAGCACTTGCTTCGAAACTACTTGAGAAATAATGCATATTATAAGGTACTGGATTAGCATAACATGAGTTTGAATGCATGATTTTTATTCATTACCTTGTAACGAATTGTGTAATATTTGGAGAGGCGTGTCCCTTATTTCGCAATGAGGTAGCCAGGTTCCTGATATTTGGTGATAGTTTCAGAATGCATACTCATGTTTTCATATAATTTGTTGCAAAAGTCGTAGACACGATTAGGTGGAGTGGGGCTAGCCTGTGTAGTTTCTGCATGAAATTCAGAAATTGATTTGTGGCTGTATAAAATCTTCAGACATTCTCCTTTAAAATGAACACAAGCAAGATGATTGGAAAGTATTGCATGTCTAATCAATATGAAAGGAGGTAAATATATAGACTATACAAGTGCTTGATCTTACAAATTTGGAGATTTAAGCTTGAATGTTACCAGGGTTTTCTCTGTCATTGAATCAGTGAAGCAGCAATGTTCACTGTTAAGTCATCTTTATTCCTATCTGTTTTCCTCGATAAATGGGGTGCTTTGTTATTTGAAAAATTAAGAGAACAAACATGCCAATTTGCAAAAATAACAGCGCGTGGTGGTTTATAGGTTATTCATATGTCCCGGGAAAATGTTGATGCTGATCAGAGATTAACCCAAGACTTGGAGAAGTTAACTACCGATTTATCTGGACTTGTCACTGGAATGGTTAAACCAACTGTTGATATTTTATGGTAAGTATGCAAAAACATGGTACTATGGTTCATCAGTCATTACACGTCCAATACGTAAAAGACCTTAATTCCATCTGCTTTTCAGGTTCACCTGGAGAATGAAGATGTTGACTGGTCGAAGAGGAGTTGCTATTCTTTATGCATACATGTTACTAGGTTTAGGTTTTCTTAGGGGTGTTACGCCTGACTTTGGTGACTTGACAAGTCGTGAGCAACAACTCGAGGGAACTTTTAGGTCAGTTCACATTTTTGGTGTATATCACTTGCAAAGATGCACTAATATGTTAAATGAGTATATTTATTATGATTTATAATACATCAGTTATTGCATATGGTCTAATATATACCTGTATTTTGCGATAAAGGTCGATTCATACATCTTAAAAAAACTCCTCTGCATTCTCTCCTCATTGATATAATTAGTAAGGATAATATATATATATATATATATATATATATATA